TCCAAGAGCATTGTCCGAAGGATTAAAGCTTAAGAAAGTTTTTTTATATGGCAATTGAGAAGGGAATATCCAAAAATTTTCCATTATGCAGTGCATAGCATGCATTTAGGCGCCTGGTGTTAGTAGTAGAGTCTAAACACTAACTACTAAACTGCACGGCACCTATTGGAACGTTGAGCTGCGCAAACGACATTTGAACATCTTATAAACTGCAACATCTCAGTCTAACTAACGCCACAGAGATCCAGCTGCTATATTTATTCTCGCCTTCCACTTGCACCAATGCTCAGTCCTATCGCCAATTATTAGCTATTCCTCGGTTGAGTTATAGCAAAGGGTCATACGTTTACTTTTAAGGCTGACACAAGGCACTTGCAGAACAATCTGACAAATCTGGCCCAGCAAATCCGACTCCCTAATTCGTCTAGAATGTCCTCTACTTGGTCATGCGGCCGAAATTATAAGCAGCCACTGACGTCGACCGCAGCTGTTATTAGAAGGAATTGAAAGCATAGCGCAACATTTTTGTAGTAGGAGGCTAGATGACGCTAATTTCGAACATTTTTTTTTACTGTCTGGCAGTATAATTTCTTCTATTTTTAGGTCGTAAGCGTACCTCTGTCCTCTACTTATGCAGGCAGTCACTTCAACCTAAGCTTCTCAATGGAAAATTTTCAAAGTTTAAAGAATGTGGTGAATTCATTTCTGATTTTCAGGACCATCATCTCCCCTGACAAAGCTTTAAAGGGCATAGAATGTGCCTTTTTTGCCTTGCAAGAGCGTGACATTTTAGGAAACGAACACAAAAAGAAGAGCGGGCGATCAAAATTTTTTGGTAGAAACGAAAACACCATAAAAGTAAGAAATGTCTGCAGATTTCATATTTAATTTTACATTATTTTTGCTGCATACTTTTAGGCTCTCAAACTTTTTACCAAGGAATATTTATAGACGAAAATTTTGCAGGCCTAACTATTGAACTCTCTAGAGTCGGCCACCCAAAAAAAACTTTGATTTGTGCTCGAAAAAAGGAGATATAAAATGAAACTTGCAGAATATTTACTTTAGAACTAGAGCTTTTCTTATTTTAATATGTATGTAGCATGAAGAAAAGAACGACAAACTCCTAAGACAGTTCATATAGTAAGAAATTTTCTTTCGAGAAAAAAATATTCACAGGTTTTTCTAGAAGAACATTTTTTCCTAATTTTTTTTTAATCTCGCATCTTTGCTTTAGGTTATTTTTTTTTAATAATTTTTAAGTTGTCCGTTTAGCCGTCGCTTCTCATCTGGCTCATCGAAATGTGCATGCGCTCACACATTTACCTAAATGCAAAATAAAGTTGAATAAAAAAGTGAAAATCGTTTAAATAAATGAAAAAAAAAACAGAAATAAATAATTTAAAATTACAAATAATAGGACTTTTAAAAGCGAAAAAAATATTTTGTGCATTTCACGCATGTTGGTATGAAAAAAAAAACTGAAGTGTGACTGGAAAAATTGCCTTTAGTGTTACATCGTTTCATTTCTCTCTAACAGCGCTATTTCGTGTATTGTACGCGCTTGCGCATAACATATCTCTTTACTATAGTTAGTACTCATTTGAGCGTACTCTCATATGCTCATTTCGCATTTACGCTCACTCATTCTCTCAAAGATTTTTCCGTTCACTCAAATTTTAAAACGCAATTGTTGCTTTGTTTTCCTGCGCTCAATGAGTCTAATTTCAAAGGACGTGTCGTAGAAATACGAGTACAAGGATGAGCACCAAAACGGATACCTATACTTCGGTTGTGTTTGTTATTTGTAAGCGAAGGTTTTTACTGGCAAATCGTTAGAATGGTTTCGGGCTTACGGTCAGTGGACGCGGTTGGCGTTTGAAGAAGGAAAAATAAATACAATACAAATTTGTGTATTTATGCTTTACATATAATTACATATGTATGTATAATTTAAAGTGAAAAGTTAACAAAATAAATGTGGCAATGCAACATAATAATTAAAATAAAGGCAGTAATCAAAGTGATTTTTTTTGTTATCGATTTGTATGCGGTTCCTTTAACTCACCTGCAGTTATGTATGCGTGAAATGCGCAAAATATTTTAGAAATGTAGAAAAAAAAAACAAATCATTTAAGCTATGAAACTATGTTAAATATTTACTAATTTATTTTATTCTAAAAAATTCAGCCTAATTCGTAAAGTACAGTGCATTCCGTTAGTTTATATGCCACACGACTGTTTTAAGCAGCTGTTTAAACTACTACGAAAATTTACGAAAATAAACGAAAATTTTGAAAATAAACATAAAAAACGAACAAGTTCAGCCATTTACATAAGTTTGTTTTGACAAAAAAAAGTGCGAAAAATATGCAACTTCCAACGGCGATCCACAGCACGCAGGAATAAGTCTGAAAGCTGTTTTGAACCAGCGAATTCACAGGAATTTCTATTTTTTAAGGTAAATGATAATATAAGTGAAATTATGTATGTTTATATAGTGTGTGGCGAATTGGTAAGGTCACCCACATTTTGATAAGCTTCATATTAAAAAAAAATTAACATAATTTCTGCAAAATTTTAAAGTTTAATACAACTTTTTACAAAGTATGTTCGCCAATTTTTAAATGGAAAAAAGGGCAAAGTACGGTCAGCAAAAAAATATGAAAAATCAGCGGCAGTTTGTAGCAGCTTCAAACTTCCACCTGCACACAAAAGCTTGCTGAAAATTCGGAATAGAAAGTGTGAAATTTTTATGAAACTTTGTTAATTTTTTTAATTTCTCAGAAAATTTTCGATAAATTCGGAATAAAGTGTGATATTTTGATGGAAATTTCACGAATTTTGCACAGAGTTGGAAACTTAAATTTATTTAACGTTTTGGTGTAAAAAAAAACTATATTAAGAATGTATTAAAATTAATTTGAAAAAAATAAATAAGCTGAACTTATCAATTCGTGAGTAGCCTTATCATTATGCCACTCACTATAGGTATATTTATACATAAATGCCAATTCCCCTAGGGACGGTTGTTCAATGTCCGGTTAACACAAATCGCAGGTAGAAGCTCGCGTTGAAGATTGGCACTGCTTTATCGATCATATGTTGTATATATGATGTCGAAATCGTCGATAACGATGTTGAACTGGGAGGTAGTGATAATCAGGCATTGCACAGGCAGTCCTTAGAAGATTTAGGGTCGATTGCTCAATGTCTGGTTAACTCTAATCTGCGGTTAAGCATCCTTATCGACATCTTCGATTCCATGCATATAACACGGTGCCGGTAACATCGATAATGATATTCAACCTGAGATTCGTGTCAACCAGGCTTTGAGCAACAGGCCCTAAATTAGAAAATATCGTAAAATACCTTTTTGAAGAAAAAAAAATTTGTTTGAGTAAATAATTTTTAAATTTCGTTTAATTTCAATTTTGTTTAAGTATTACTCTACTCAAAAGGTAATTAAGAAGTAATTGGGGTTGTTCAAACTTGCCTGGTTATCAGGTTATGTGGTTATATTTTTTGTCCAGTCTACAAAAAAAATATACTACACAATAATAATTTTAACCAGATAACCTTATAATCAGGCAAGTGGGAACAACCCCATTGTTAATTCGAGTCGGCATAAAAACAGCAGGGTTCCGATTTCTCTAAACGCACTGTGTACTATATATACCTCTCCCACGAAATTGGGGCGAGTTCGCTTTGCCGCCTGTTCAACTGTAAGATCCAATCGTTTAATTTCCACAATTACCTCCAGCGCTGCCGCCAGACATGTCCACATAGCCCCCATAATGCAAACACACACCAGACGTTGAATCTTGGTAAGGGAATGCCTTGTCGTTGCCAGAGTAGTCCTTCAAGCCACTGTCCCGTAGACTAGGGACAATTGTGGTCGTATTATCATGGCATACATTCATGTTAGGACCCTTCGGGTGTTAGTGCAAAAAGCTCAATTGTCGTGGTTTTTAGAAAATATTTTACTAGATGGCCATTAGGCACGTTCCTTTCTTAAATTTAAAGTTATATTAAAAAAAAAAAAAAAGTTAAGGTCTCACTATAACTACGATGTGTAATCGTGGCTGAGGGTGCGCGTCTTGCAGGGATTCCCTTTTTGCTACTATGACTCATGCGATAGTCGTACGTACGTACGTGTGCCTGTGTTTCCTCTAAAATTTGCAGTTGGTTCTCTGCATTGATTTGAGTAGTTTTATCGCTCTTCATTGACGGTTGTTGGTTTTGTGCCAACCTTGTATTTGTTCACTGACATATGTCCTTACACATACGCATATAGTATGTACAAGTATAATGCTTGTAGACACTGTGCTATTGGAATGAAATGACAATCATTGTATTCTTCTACTTTGGTATGAAAGTGTATCCACTCCTCGCGCTTTCTTCCTACCTCTCTCGTTAGTTCTTTTGTTATTCAATTTCAGTGAGTTAGTTTAGTTCGTTAGTTTGCATCTTAGCTTTGCTGTGTGCAAATAACAAAAGAGAGCAACTTTTTTTAAGTATGTGAAAATACGTATACACTCACACACGTGGTACTCTACGGAACAAAATTTTCATTTGTAGTTGTTCAGCAACTTTTGTGCTCAAAACATATTCTAATCAGTGAATGAAAATTTTATTGTTTTTTCACAGTGAATTGTGCTGAAGTTCTTTCTGTACTCAACCGTTGAGGAAATGACTGCAATGCAACTGTCAAAGAATGTTCAGTTGTCAGGTGGTTTTGTTTGTTAGAACTGTTAGAACTTGAAATGAATATGTCTTTGAATTTTATCTGAATTTCCATAACTAAGCAAAAACGCACAAATCTGAAAGGTTTTCATTAAGAGCCAAAATAAATGTACCAATTTCTTGTTCGCAATAAATTTACCCAGCCAATTTAATTTTTATTGCATTTCAAAACACAGCACAGTTTTCGACTGTCTCTTTTGGGCCCGCGTCATCGCAACTGCGGCAGAACCTATTGAAGGGCAGTCCTATCCTTTCGGCATGCACCCAACGGTCCAGTGCCCTGTGCACACTGCAGAAAATTTGTAGTGAGCTTTGGTTTTGAGGGGATCGTAGGACACCCAGAACTGCCGGGTAATCGTGTAAGATCCTGTAGAGTTCCACCTGTGCTTGGCCTTCGAATTTCGAAATTTCGGTAGTTTTTGTCTCAATCTCCCTGAGGCGCCCATTTCCACCGCGTGGGACACATTCAGTGCGGAACAGCCCTTGCTAGTTCGTCCGCTACCTCGCTTCTGCAGATTTCCCTATAATTTCGTATTGATCAGAAATATAGGCCAGCTCTCTCCTACATTCGTCCACTTGTTGAGATCTAAAAGACGTAGAAGAAAGTGCCTGAATAGCCGCTTGGCTATCCGAAAGGATGTTCACCTTCGTTCTTGTTCGCACATTCTCTTTGATGTATGAGCCTTACTCCCACCTTAATAGCAAACGTTTCGGCATGGAAAACGCTTGCATAAACTGGTAGGCGGTATATATTTATATTTATTTAGGTTCTGTCTGTATAGGCCCCATAACCGTATACCTGTAGCTTTCGTTGAAGGATTTCCCTATTTGCCTCCGTAGCACAGTAAAGTTCTCATTACACCATGTTGGGCGCGCTTTCTTTCTACATACCTCAGAGAATAAGCCTTCGTAAGGGCCTTTCCGAACGCTTATTCAGGCTGTCCGCTTTGGCGTTCAGCTCGTCCCTTGTAGGAATGTCTTCAACTTGTAGTTTGGGTATTGAAAATGCGATTTTAATAAACTTTATTTATTTAAGCCTTAGAGGACGAAGTTCGAGGATGTGGTCGTGTGTATATTAGTACTGAACATATAATTTTTTCAAAAATAAATATTGTGAATTTTCTGGGATATTCAAGGACAAAATATTAAAAGGACACATACGCATTCATACCTTTGCACCAAAAAATTTAATATTTTTTTATTTTACAGAATATTCTGTTTTATTTGATATCCACATTGATATTTTAGGTTGCGCTAGGCTTTTCAAACATTTTTTTTTTACTTATCATATTTTTGAAAGTCCTTTAAAAAAATTCTGACATCGGAGAGAAAAACTAAATACGCAGTTTTACTATATTTCGCCCATATTTTCGCGAATATTTTAATTTTTTGTGTGTAAATTTTTTTTTGTCGCCCGGTGTTATAAAATAGGACAAAAAAAATTAAGCTCATGCAAAATTTTTACCACTAAATATATATTTTTTCTACGATGCTTCACTTCTTCCAGCTGTAGTCCGCACACAGTTTCTTAATATACATTTTTTTTGCTAACTAAAACTCCATATCTTAAACTCCACTCTGTCTCATAAAAAAAGTTGTCCATACACTCTAAAACAAACTGCCAGCCACTAACTTAATTTAAAGTTTCTTCCGCAATTTTCTCATTTACTTAAAATTACTTTTTTCCCCACACACTAACACATATGTATGTATGTAGGTATGTACATCTGCGCACATACATATTTTCCCTTATCCGCTTTTACTATACAATTTTACACGGAAATTTAATTACGAATAAGGCATTCAAGTAAATGGAAAATATAAAGAAAAAAATTTTTAAGAAAAATGTCGCATTTACTGCCAATTTACATGACTCATGAGCCAGCAGCAGCAGGAGTAGTAAAGTCAGAACCAGAAGCAAAGAGCAGCCGGCCAACAGGGCGACAAGTGGAGCGCCCAACAAAATGGCAGTAGTCAATGGCGGTCGTCACATGACGACAACCAACAACTAACAAACAGTAAACAACAAACACAAGCATTAACATTTGCTTTTTAGTTTCGTTGTTTTAAATTTATGACCATCGTTGTGGTTGCTGCTCTGCGTGTGTGTATGTATAGCGGGCAAATGATGAAGTTATATAGTTGCCAGAGAGTGTATGTTCAAATGTGCTTGTGTGAGCTTAGCGGCTGATGCCCGCCGCTAGTTTAGTTTATGTATTCTGTGTTTTTTTTTTTGCATTTGCACGTATCCATGTGTGCGTTTGTTTGTTGGCGGCAACCGCATGTGGCGCTGTCGAGTCTCTTGGCCATAAAATATTGTTCTGCCTCATCCGGCCAAAGGGTGTGGGGGAAAAACAATAACAAAATACTTGACTACCACTTCGACGCGAAAGCAAACGGCACTGGCATGAGCTAATCAATGCTGGTGTTAGTAAACGAGCAAAGTCGTATAACAGTTTTCGCTTTACTGTTATGTGGCATTGGTGGGAGTTGGCGAAGTTTATAGCTCAAAGGATTTTTTATTTATTTTTCAATGGCAATCAGTGAGTCAGTGTAAGAGAAATTTCATGCTACAACCTCAGTGATATGAAAATAAATATTTTTGTTTTATATGCTTAACATAATTCATAGGTTTGTAAGTTCATATACGTTCGAGTGTTCGTCCATTTCATCAAAACAAATTAGTTATATACTCGTAGTATGTATGCAAATCTACACCAAACGATAAAATCCCTAATGAATTCGATAAAAAATTCCACAAAAATATCGACAACGATATTCATATCCTTATTGTAGAAAGTGAAAGTATGCAAAGTGTAAAACTATAACGATAACACTAATTAAATCGATAACAACGGACATAAAAATATCGATAACGATTATAATACTCTCTGGGGGCAAATTAGATTGCGAAAATACCACAATAAAGTCGATAACAAAGTCCAAAAAATATCGATAACGATAATAATATCCTCCACTTGGAAAGTAAAAGTGTGCAAATAAGAAAGTAACCACAATAACACTAGTATCATCGATAACGAAAACCATAAAATGCCCCAAACGATAAAGCATCGATAACGATAAAAGTATCGATAGCAATGACCAAAGCGGCGTCGGCGAAAAAAGCGATAATAAAACCAATACAATATCGATAACGCCAGCACTAAAGATATCGGTCGTAAAATCGCTAATAAAAGCAATTTCGAAAATAATGATCGTAAATCGGTATAAAAAACTGTATAAACAAAATTTTAAATCCCCTGTTTGATAGTGCCAAATTTTATCCAGCATACTTAAATAATAACACATGCCTACAAAATTTCACACAACTCAAGACCCTAAGAATAGGTTGTACTTGCGTTATCATATTTGCTCAATTTTAGTGCAATTTTAGGCTAGTAGTAGGTCCTAAGTATGCCAGCGAAGTCTTGTGGTGATATGGTAGTCTCCGACCAAACTCTTGAGACTGTGAAAAATTTCACATACCGAATAAGTAATGCCAGAGCATTGAGGCAAACAACAATCTCTGCTCCAGCTTAAAGATGAGGCCTTTCAAGTCCAATTTGCTCTCGATACTACTTTACGGCAGTCCCACCTGGAAAGTCACTACTGCAATAAACAGATGCCCTAGAATAATAATCCGATTTTTTTTTTGGGTCTAAAATGAAGAGTTGCTCAGAAAACCTAACATGGAGTGCCCTGGCATCTGGATGCGGGAATAGAAACAGAAAAGGATAGACAATACTTTGCGCAAAGAAGGCGACAGGCAATATTGCAAAGAACGCCTTAGAATGGAGTGCCCTAATCGGCAGAGATAGGCTCAACGGCTCCACGAAAGGTTAAGTTTAAAAGCATTGAAAGCGATTGCCAAAAAACGAACCAGATGGCGCGCAGGCATGCCGCTTGGGATTAAAGGAAACGAAGAAGAAGAGAAAACTTGCGATTGCTGAATTCAGGTTTTGTAAACGTCACAGTAGTAGCCGAGAAAGCAAAATCAAAATCTGTGGTAGATTTTTAAGTAAAATCGCAACTGCTATCCCACTAGCGAGCTTAAAAATCTCCGCATAAATAGCTCATCTACATAATCGGGTTTAGTTAGCTCCCCCTGCTCTACTTCTTAGAACTCGACTCATTCAAATCAAGAACCCAAAGGAGCCTGGTAACCGTAAATTACCCTCCTCAGAGCTGTATTAGTATCTTCATAATTTTATTTGTAGCTTGAACCGCAACAAATTCGACTTAATAAGCAGCTTTCAAAAGCTTACACACTTATTTTGATGCATACAAGCGAAAACAAAAAAATATATCCTCCGCTGCGTAAAAAGGTTAAAGTTATGACCTCAGTCAAAGTATTTTAAATTATGACCAGCGCATTCATTTACAGTTGCTAGCAAAATTAACGCAGGCGACAGCGTCAGCGACGGAAGTGGGAACACAGCAACCACACCGTGCCACCACTTATTATTAAAACATATTTGTATAAATTATAATTTTTGTTTGTAACTTACAACAAAAGCTAACAACGCTACTTACACTCATATACACGAAAGACTGCGCAAATGTCACACAAAAATGTTGCTGCAAAGAGTCAACAACTTTTATGCTTTCGCTTTGTTTCGCTTGCCTGCATTTGCTGTTGTTGTTGAAAATTAAAAAAAATAATGAAATTTAAATGTAAATAATGAGTGGCTGCGACAAGGCCCGCGCGCGTAGGTAAAAGGTGTGGCGGCGTCACTGTGGGTGGGCTGTGAGCAAAAAGGTAGAAATGTTGCTCATACGCCACGTTGGCGCTACTCGAAAGGCACTCAGCTGGAGTTAACACACATACATACAAGTGAACACATGTACATACATATATAAACACATACATTCATATTTTCTAAAGAGCGAAAATCGTGTAAAACGAAAAAAGGTGCTTTGCTAATTTTCAAGCAGATATACGTAAGCTTTAATGCATTAGTGTTGGTGTAAGTCTGCCGCCTGTGTGGGTGTTTTTGAGTACTTCTTTAGTTATGCTTTGCGTTGGTCATTAGTAAAAACTTTGCTACCTTATGACGACTTTTGCAACTTTTTAAGTGAACAAAGAAAACGAGAAAAACATACACACACATACACATACATACATGTTAGGGTAAAATTTTTCGTGCGAAATTTTGTGGTACCATTTTGTGCGTATAAGTTTGCTTTTGCGCAAGTACTCAGCGCACTTAACAAATTAATGCGGTAATTACGCGCGACTTGTTGTCGTTTGGTTTTTCTATGAAAAGCTAGAAAATGTTTTCTCTTTTCCCCTATGTGCTGGCATAAACAACACCAACAGCATACCTAAAACAGCATATTTTATTAGTGCAAAGCGTTTTCTTGCTGTGCCACTTTCCATAACAGCAGCAGTGAAAAGTAGCGTATACGACTTTTTCGAAGCGTTATTTAATTGCCATTTTTATGCACCAAATGTTGTTACTGAAATGTTGAAGTTTATGGCTTTAAGCAAGTTGCTGGAAATTCATGCATTTTTGTATCTAAATTTATTTACTAAATATGTATGGTATAAAACTGAAATGCAAAATTGTTTGTGTGTGATAAACTCACAAAATACTGCGCCGATTTTTGTGAATTAAGTTCTAAACATCAAACTTGTGCTACGAAAGGATATAGAAGTAGACTTTGATTCGAAAATTGGTTTGTTCGCGATAAACTCACAAAGTGCTGGCACGATATTCATGATTTCAGTTTTAAAATAACAAATTTGTGCTGCAGAAGGGTAGATTTTTTTTAATCAAATTAGTAGAAGGTGTTGCTCAATTTCTCCATACAAAAAATAATTGTCGAACATACTTTATATGGAAGAACCTGCGGGAAAAACTGTCAAACATTTCTAGCAACTTCAAACTTGCACTTTATAAAATTGAATAGGCTATAAAACTGCATTCTTAGAATTTTTCTGAATAAAAAGTTGCAAATTTATTGAATTTTCCAGAGTTTTGGAGATTTGATTTTTATGGTTTTTGGTGGAGTATAGACCATATTTTTATAAACAAAAATCGCAAATAAATAAGAATAAAAAACTTTGCATATATTGCGAAAAAATCACTGTGCCAGTAGTTTTGTTCGTCACTGTATGTACAAACGAGGTTTTTTTTTTAATTTTACACATTTTTTAATAAATACTCGGTTCAAAAAAATTTGGTCGTATTTTATCTCAAAAACGGAGCCGACCTCATTTTTTTTAGATTTGTGATGCTGATTGGAAGTGCATTTACAAAATTTTTCCAGCACGTCCAGTTAAAAAAAATAAAAATTAATAATAGAATTAGGACGTAGTTTCTCCGAAGAAAAAAAAAAAGACGTATTAATGAAAATCCAAATGGTCTGATGGATTCTGCCTCATGTCGATGCATGAGTAGAATGGAGTGAAAAAAAAATTAATAAAAAAAAACACTAGCGAAGAACCTGGCGAATGATTCCACCAGGACTTAGCCACTATGGAGAACTGGTATGATAGGATATTAAACGTCCACATGCTTGCTGACTATTGCTGGACCTTGAAAAGCGATGGTATGCGATCAACAAAAATAGTGTTTGAAGATTTCATTCTAGAACGCGGAAAGTGTATAAAGACAAAAGACTGGTTAATGATGAATCTGAGCTATTGATTTTCAAATGTTGATTTGCTCTTGAAATCACTTGGTTTTTTCAAATAAATTCATAGAATAAGATTTTCGTATATGTATGAAAACAAGTGCATGCTATTGAAGAACTGGGTTTTTTCACTAATTTCTAATCAACATATCGACATGGGGTAAAAACCTTCAAACGAATTGGATTTTTATTAATACTACGTCCAATTTTTATAAAAAGAAAATGGAACAAGTTTTTAATTATTACTAAATTCTTATAAAACTTTTTGTGTCAAAACCTTGAGTCAGACGTTTTTCTCGGATCAAATCGCAAAATGGTGGGTCAATGTTCATGATAAAAGTTTTAATTTAATTATGCTTCGGAAGAACACAGAGGTATTTCCCTAATCCTTTCAATGGCAGGGCTAGAATAAACATGAAATAATTTTTTGAGGTAATATTCCTTTCATTTAGGCAAATTTTGGTTTTTTTGCTTCTAATCGACATTTAACCGGCATTTAAACATCAAAGAGGGATTAAATTCAGCTTTATTCTTCTTTTTCATGGGAGCAAGTGTTTTCCAAAAAAGACGCTGCAAACCGAACGTAAAAATGGTTTTCTGACGTGCCCAATATATATAGATAATAGACAAAGCCATGGAACGGGTAAATGAAAGCTTTGAGCTTTTTTAAATACAATAACTATTGCCAGGCTTAGAAAAGCGTTCCAAGTATTTCCTACTTTAATTTGAAAAATTTGTTTTCCTTCTTTTAAAAAATTTTCATATTTTTCATTTAGGGTCTCAAACACTTTTAATCAAGAAATTTTCAAAATTTTTAACGGTTTGTACTTTCTTTTCATTACAGCTCCCAGTGCGTAATTTAAGGCCTTTGGGCCTCTCTCACCGCCAAAATGTCGTCCGTAAAGGTGGCGGTTCGAGTGCGACCCTTCAATTCGCGTGAAATCGGTCGGGAATCAAAATGTATTATCGAAATGAACGGTGCTACTACCGGTGAGTATAAAACTAAAAATAAATAATATGACAAAAATTATGTGAACTACATATGTGAATATTGGCTTAGATTTATTTGGTAAACAATTTAGTAAAAACCTATGTTATGAATTTTTTATCATCGTAAAGAGATGTACCTCAAAAACTAGCTCAAAAATAAAAAAAGGGTTTAAAAAATTATGAAGAATATGCGATTTCGGCTATTTTTTGAAGTCACAAAACGAAAAAAATGTCCGCCAAAATCCTTACCTCTCAACCTGTAGACCCGGTCTAACAAGCCTGCCATGTTTGAAAACATACTCAGTTGTTGTAAATCTGCGTTTGATATTTGTGTAGAAATTTAAAAACTGGAAAGCAAAATGCAAAATATTAAAAAAAAAAATTAAAAAGAAAGTCCTTTTAAATTTTGAACCAAACCTTTCACTGAAGATTTTTATTCAATTTGTCGAGTTTTCTAATTAAGTGAGTTCTTGGAAAACCTTTGTCCCGGGCAGCAATGCAGATGATGCTATACTTTCTTAAATAAAATCGTTCGGTAGTGGTTGGAAGAAGACAGCGGTGAATCTTTTCAAGGATGGGTCGAAGCTTCACGGTAAGGTGGGTGGAAGAGTCTTTACCAGTGAGCTTTCTATAAACCTTAAATTAAGGCTTACAAATCACTGTAGTGTGTTTCTGGCGAAGGTTTCAGCTATTCAGAAATTCGGTTCAGCTATTCGGTTGGTTGCTGTTGTGGACGATGGCGGTAAAGGAGCCATGTGGCAATCAGAGTCCTCACTTAACGTATGCCCAAAACTTGTTGGGGAATGTCTTAATTGACTTTCGGTCGCGTCGGAATATTATTATTATTGTCAGGCTTGTATGGGTACCAGTCCATAGTGATATTGCAAGAAGCTCTTTGGCTGATGAACTAGCCAGCACATGTGGCATTGCGAGGTCTTTCTGGCCGAGTGTGGACTAGGCACTGTCTAGGGATCTCCGTACACTCGCAAAGTCGGATCTCTCGATTCTGATGGATGTACTGAACAAGCCACTGTTCTATCCGGGTTCTAAACTGAGTAGCTTACAGTTATTACAGTCGAACTCTAACCACGATGGTGGGCACCGGCCTGTCCGCGAGAAAATCTCTTTCGAGCTTTTTATACATTTATTATTATAAGCTTTAAAGAGCTTTGTCCGCGCGCAAGCTGATGCTCACCACCGCCTTAATAGGAAGCAAAGAAGGTGATTGAGGTTTATAGACCATTCAGTCACTTTATCTGTATTATAACTAAGCAATTATCCTAGCTATCGAGCTGTACGCGAAGGTTCCCTCCATAAATTCATCGGCAACCTAAGGGCTGATTTCGCTGCAGGATTTTCTAAATCAAGTTCAATTCACAGCAAGTTCGGTATCATTTCTAAAGCTAGATTTTATAAAAACTAAAATATTCATGCAAACTTCTTATTCTTCTCATACGAACATTTACAATTTGCTCCTTTCAGCTATCACAAATCCCAAAGTACCACCAAACAGCAGCGAAGCCATCAAACGCTTCAATTTCGATTACTCTTATTGGTCGCACAATGTAAGTAGAAGAATTCAAGAATAGAAAAAAACCATATTCGAAACTCACCTACAATGCCATTAACTTTTACATTCATAAGTGCAACACAATTGATTAAATGAAAACACTTTTCTAATTGTAATACGCTTCCTGACACGCGTCTCTGACCCTTTTTCACTCTACATTTATTTCTCTCACTCGCCCCTTGTTTTCTGCTACTACAACACCACAGCCACGAGATCCCGAATTCTCTACACAAGAGATGGTCTACAAGGACATTGGCGAGGAGATGCTGCAACACTCTTTCGACGGCTACAACGTATGCATATTCGCCTACGGTCAAACCGGTGCTGGCAAATCCTATACAATGATGGGCAAGCAGGAGGAACATCAAGAGGGTATCATACCGATGATTTGTAAAGATCTCTTCAATCGTATACACGACACGGAAACAAGTGAACTCAAGTATTCGGTAAGTTGAGTGCGAGCTTGAGGATGAAAGAAAGCCTTGAGGAAAACTATGCACGAGTAGTGAATGCATGTATGTAGGTGTAGGTAGTGAAGTGAAGTGAAAAGTGACAAAGTGTTGTGAGGTGAGCTGATGTGAAATGTGTAGTGAAGTGCAGCGAAGCGAATGCAAAGGGGAAACAACGTGAAGTGTAAGATGTCCAAATAACAGTGTGTGTGTGTGTAGTGGATTTCTTTAGTTTGGTGTAGCTTGGTATTGAATGAATTTCTCTTTAGAATGCAAGTGATGATTGTTGTCTCAGTGGAGATAAGTAAATGTATGCATTTGTAAGCAGACAGCAGGCAGTGCTATAGTGTGTGTGTGAAAAAGGACTTACATATGCAGTTCCTCTGTGTACGCTCGTCAGCCGTCAGCCGCAAAGTAAATGAAAATAGCAAGATTTTNGCTGTGTGTGTGTGTGTGTGTAGTGGATTTCTTTAGTTTGGTGTGGCTTGGTATTGAATGAATTTCATCTCTTTAGAATGCAAGTGATGATTGTTGTCTCAGTGGAGATAAGTAAATGTATGCATTTGTAAGCATACAGCTGGCAGTGCTATAGTATGTGCGTGTGTGTGTGTTTGTGAAAAAGGATTTACATATGCAGTTCCTCTGCGTACGCTCGTCAGCCGTCAGCCGCAAAGTAAATGAAAATAGCAAGATTTTTGCAATATTGCGCATGTAACAGCATCAGCTTGAATTGTCGCTTGGCATACAGATGAATGCTGGTGCCCTCATTTATTACAATTTTCTTGCTTTCATCATCAATTCATGCCTTTGTTCAACACTATTTCTTTTTTTGCTCTACTATTTATTCTATCCTTCTGTGCATTCAGGTTGAGGTTTCCTATATGGAAATCTATTGTGAACGTGTACGCGATTTATTAAATCCAAAGAATAAAGGCAACTTGCGCGTACGTGAGCATCCATTGCTCGGTCCATATGTGGAGGACTTATCCAAGTTGGCGGTGACTGATTATCAGGACATACACGATCTCATCGATGAGGGCAACAAGGCGCGGTAGGTGATAATTGACATCTTTTTTTTTTGTATTGTAAATGCTAAATATATTTTTAATTAAAATTTAATTATTTACTTTTAAATAAATTATATTCTTGAAACTCACTGCAAGTCAATACAATTCGATTTAATGGAGATGAAATTGTTCTCATTTCAATTTAACTCAACTAAATTAAATTCAATTTAATTCAGCTCAATTCTATACAATTCAGATCCAATTATATTCAATTCAGTTTAACGCAATGAAAAGTAATTCAATGCGATTCCAACTCAATGTAATTCAATTCAATTTAATTTAGTTCAATTCTTTTTTTGTAATTCAGTTTAACTCACTTTTTTCTTCATAGTTATTAATTTTAGTATCTTATTCACTTTTTATCTCTATCTCTATCTACCTAACATACACTCTCTCTCTTTTCTCCATCAGCACCGTCGCCGCTACCAACATGAATGAGACCAGTTCTCGCTCTCNCACACCTCTCCCTCTTTTCTTCATCAGCACCGTCGCCGCTACCAACATGAATGAGACCAGTTCTCGCTCTCATGCGGTATTCACCATTTTCTTTACCCAACGTCGTCACGATAATATGACCGATCTCACCACCGAGAAGGTTTCCAAAATTAGTTTGGTCGATTTGGCTGGCTCCGAACGCGCTGATTCGACTGGCGCCAAAGGCACACGACTAAAGGAGGGCGCTAATATTAATAAATCTTTGACTACACTGGGAAAAGTTATCTCGGCTTTGGCTGAAATCGTAAGTTTATTTTTTTAAGGAAAGATATAATTTTCTCTCAAGTGAAAAAACAGTCAGTAATTATTGAAGCTTTTACTATTCACATGCCTTTTTTGCTCTTATTTATCTCTCATCCATTTAATGCTTGCATGGTGCATAATTTTGCACCAAAACAAAAAAAAACATTAAAAATACTCAAAAATTGGAAATTTCAAAAACTTCGANTTTGAAGCTTTTACTATTCACATGCCTTTTTTGCTCTTATTTATCTCTCATCCATTTAATGCTTCACAATTTTGCACCAAAACAAAAAAAAAACATTAAAAATACTCAAAAATTGGAAATTTCAAAAACTTCGAAAAAACCGTTTTTGCACGCGCGAATTTTCAAAATTCAATAACATTTTCGCAATAAAAATATTTAATGGCAAATAATAAAACGTTAACAGTCTGTAAGTATTAAGAATTTTTTTAAACAATTTTTTAATGAATTTTTATGAAAAATTTGAAATATTTGGTTTAATTGGTTAGAGAGAATTATGCAATAAAAATGAAAAAAAAAATAAAAGTTTGAGCAAAAATTATTCACACTCCTAGAATAAAATNGCAATAAAAATATTTAATGGCAAATAATAAAACGTTAACAGTCTGTAAGTATTGAGAATTTTTTTAAACAATTTTTTAATGAATTTTTATGAAAAATTTGAAATATTTTGTTTAATTGGTTAGAGAGATTTATGCAATAAATGTGAAAAAAAATAAAAGTTTGAGCAAAAATTATTCACACTCCTAGAATAAAATAATTTAATATAATGTAAAATAAAATCAAAATAAAAAACAAAATTGTAAAACTAAATTAAATTTAACGAATCAAATTTTGGCTAAGCCGGCGCCACCTGGAGTCACAGCTCGTTGGAAAATTAAAAAGTTTGAGCAAACAAATTTTCAGCACGCGTAGAATAAAATAATATAATTAAAAAAATAAAAATAATAATAAACAAATTCAACCCCGACAAGAGCGGTAGAGAAGTTTGTTTTAGCAAAAAACAAAGGCATATGCGCTCTATGAAACTCCGTGGGTAGGGCGAGTAGTCGCTGTCATTTAACTAAATGTCCCCAGCTTCCACCGGGCTTGCTATGAGGGAATAAGTACCCCAGAAGGGGATTGTATGTACGTAGACCGATATATGGATGAAATAAGCTTAGAAACAGAATGATTTTTGGGCTAGCGAAAGTAGCATTCTACGACGCGGTTATAAATAGCGAACAATAAAAGCAGAAGAGCAGCAATTTTTGGCTTGGCGATAGTACTGGAACAGCGGCAACATGGTCCCCACCAGGAAACAATCTAAACACGAGCTGTAATGGAAAGGGTAACGGCTTCGTTTTTATCGCTGCAGCTGGCTAACATTAATTAGCTGGCCATTAACGCTAAGCGAGTCCGCAGAGGAATTCATAACAAGCTAGACAACATCGAGGACTGTGTTCGAGATATGTCTGTAATGGGGTATACCCAGTACCAATTGAAGAGATAGGCCGGTGGTAGAAATTACCGTTATAATCAGACTAATAAATATCAACACACTGTTAACAGCAAAATTCCGAAGACCAGAGTGCGAAAAGACCACCCTATTAATAACTCCAGTATCAGAAAGAATAATGAATGCAAAAAAAGGCACGAACAGTTCTAGACAATTTTCCGATAATTAGTATACATATACATATTGTTCCTGATTGAACCCTAAATCTCCCGATACCAAAACGCCAGCAAAAACGGCACTCGAAGATGTTTTCCGCTTTGAATAAAGACGCGTTATTGGCGGAAATCGACTCGCCATCCACAGGTGACGTAAGCTCTGGTATATCAAAACAAAGTTAAGCGCCACTGTGGATAAAATTATCCGGGCCTGTAACAAGTCTATGTAATCGCACGCCATGGAAGACGGAATGCAGCCGCTTACTGGTGGAAACAGACATCGCCGAACTAAGAGTGCCACTGTCTCCGATGTAGACGAGTGTATCGTACGAACTACTGCTTGTACCAGTAAGACAGCTTTGATGATGCATTGGGCCTGCGAAAAAAATGCAATGGAATTAAAAAAAAAATGATACAAAATATCAAAATCCAAATGCAATAAATTTTGTAAACTAGAGAAACTATAAAAGTAGCATTTTAAAAATTAAAAAAGTTAATTACATTCAAAAAGAAAAATATTTTCTTAACAATCTCATATGACTCATACAATTTTCTCACTGTGCAGTCATACGTACGTTCGAATAAGCGTAACCATTTTTTCACACTTTTTTTATCAACTAATTTCCAGGCTTCTAAGAACAAAAAATCAAAGAAAGCCGATTTTATACCTTATCGCGACTCTGTGCTAACCTGGTTATTGCGCGAAAATTTGGGTGGCAACTCTAAGACAGCTATGATTGCTGCCATCTCACCGGCCGATATTAACTATGATGAAACATTGAGCACCTTGCGGTGAGTATGAGATGAAAATTACATATGTATGTACATTAGAGCGTACAACCTTAAAGGCAAATAATTAAGTTCGCTGTACATCCCTGTGTCTAAAATATTTTTGCAAGGCAATATCAAACACTTTTTTTGGTCGAACCTAGGGGTTGTTTTAACATTTTTTTGTGACGCCTACATACGGCAATAAAAAATTTGTTTAGCGAAAGTTTAATGATTTTTGGTGACCTTTAATTTACTGACATTAGGGTGGTAGGTTAGGGAGATAAGAACTGAGAACTGGTGGGCAAGTACATACTAGATCGCGTAATTGAAGTCAATGAACTTCGAAGCGAAAAAATTATATCCTTGAGACATACTTTAAGATCCGATTGTAGATGCCGCAGGTATGAATGTGAAAAGACAACCCCTACGTTTGGCCAAAATGTTTTTTCGAAACTGCCTTGTAAAAATACTTTAGCCCTGAGTAGGGTGAACTTTTTTCCGCTACAGTCTTATGTTAATATGTATGGACATATCTACATAAATCATTTTAAATTTCAGAATTAGCATAAGTTTACAAAAACTACTCAAGCAATATTTTTTTGTTAAAGAATTAAAATTTGAGTTTTTTTAATTTTCTTTTATAGTTAAAAAATAAAATTACGTAGAAACATATTTTTTAATAAAAAAACTAAAGTTGAAAAATATTTTAAGAAATCTTAGTAATTTCAGAATTTTAAAATTTTATAAATTTTTTTTTTTATATTCAAAAATTGTATTGATGGGTTTCTTAATGAAGATCTCAGTGGGTATACCACTGGTTTGTAAGCCGGAGACATTGGTTCAAATCTCAGTGAATTCGAAATCTGAGGAGCAGATGTGGCTATAACTTCTATCATATGTAGATTGTTGTTTCTCCACAAAAATTTTGGTTTGAAAAGGCCTCAAGCTAAATAAAATTGTTGAATAACAAATTTTGGTTCCAAAACTAAATAATTTTTGAAGTTTAATAATTTTAAATTAATTGTTTTTTTTTTTTTTTAATTACTCGAATACAATTTTTTAATACAATTTTAATTTTCGGAAACTTCTTTTTTCTAAAGTAGAAAAATATTTAAGACATTTAAAAAAAAATTAAATTTTCAAAATTTTTAAGCAAAGATTTTTTTTTATTTTTTTTTATTTTTACAATTAAATAATTTTTTTTGTTTCTCTTCCTCACTCTTCCAGCTACGCCGATCGCGCCAAACAGATCGTTTGCAAGGCCATCGTCAACGAAGATGCCAATGCCAAGCTTATACGCGAACTCAAAGAAGAGATTCAAAAGTTGCGCGATCTCTTGAAGGCCGAGGGTATTGAAGTGCAAGAAGGTAAGCGTGGCATGCATTTTAGCTGGACATTTACGATTATCTTTTTATTAAAAATTAAGTTAAATTCTGTATAGTCGAATTAAATCGAATTAGAAATGCACTAATTTTCCAAAAATTTGTAGAAACTACTAACCTACGCCAGAAAGTATGCAATAACTTATAAAATTATTCACAATTATTTTTTCATAAAGATTAAATTAAAAAATCCCATCAAATCAATGCTCGCCGAATTTATTCGAACGCTTCTAATTTTAGCTACAAACATGTTCAAAAATTCATTTATAAAAATAAGCTGTTAAAAAAATCATAAATCATTTGCATAAAGTTAATTGAATTCTGTAACTCGAATTTAATTAGTTTAAACATAAAAATCAACGTCAAAATAATTGAGCCGCTATATAGTCTATACATATTTTCATTTAGGGCCCGATGGTAAAGTGGTTTGTGAGAAGCGCGACCCGAATAGTAAGTAGCAAATTGAAAAAAAAAGAATAAAAATAGTAATGATACAATTTTTTTTTTAATAAAATTATGCAAAGCTTTGCAAAAAAACAAATTCAATTAATTACTCGTAACTGAAATGCAATTTTATGCAACCGCAACCACAAAATTAATTATGTGTCAGAAAAATAAGCAAAATTACAGCAACAACAAATGCATACACGCACGCACGCACATGCACAGTAAACAATGTAAAAGTAACAAAACTTTTGTGAAGAATTATTAAAATAAAAAAGTTCACGTTTTGCTTTTGGTTTTTGGATCCATTTAACTCGGGTGTATAGTTGTGCAATTAGCTGTGTATGTGTGTGCGTGTTGGTGAAAATTTTAAAAATTTTGCAAAAAACCACTAAATTGTTGTGAAATTGTCCTGCTTCCTAATACGCCAATATATTTTGTATATGTACTCAATTATCCTTTGTGCTTACATAAATATAACCACAAATACTACATATATTTTTGAAATACATATGTATCTGTATGTATGTATATTCGTACTTGTTCTCGTAATCTCAACTCTGCTTGTTATTTTTTGGATTTTTTTCTGGGTAATAGTATTGAATGACAACTGTTTGTATGAAAATATTTGCTAGATTGGACACATGTGTACATACATAGAGTGCATCACTCTCCGTATAAAAAAAAAAAAAAACAATAATAAAACTTATTATATTTTAAGGCCAATATTAATTTTTACATGAGGTGGACCGATTTTAAAAATTCCTCTGCAAATCGAGTTTTTTATGAAAAAAAATTCCGAAATATTTTGACGAGAGCCCTAAAATATAATAATTTTTATAACACTAGTGGTAAACCCGCCACTTTTTTGGTGAGGCACTCTAAAGTACCTACGGTGGTGGTCATAAAATAAGCACTACCCTTAAAAATACTATTTGTAATTTTTATGGAAAAACCGGCATGTCTCGAAAATAAATGGGATGACAGAAGTTCGTTCCAAAACTCGTCATATATATGAGCGTATGAGAGCCAGAAGGGCCTACCTACAAAAAATTATAGTGATAGAAAACTGAAAGGCGTACCCCGGGCAGTACCGCATTTTTTTAATGTTAGTAAGGCTACCCTGGCTGGCTTTCAACCTAACCACCTACACCTACGTATGGGACTGTACATAATCCATCCCGTCCAACTATAAGCATCAAAGGCCACACTATGCCTTGCGCTCTCCAGAATCTTTACAACCTGCTTAAAAATAATCCCCATCCTAAATGAGCGGACAAAGTCGATGCTGGTTTTTCTGGCAAAAAAAAATGGCAGGGCCAGACCACTCATGTGAAAGCAAAAGAATTCAGGCCTGCAAGGCATTTGTACATATCGAGCCCTAAACGCCAAAATAACGTTAGCGACATTTTTTCCAAAATTTTACAAAATATTTTGATGCAGAAATGCATCTAGATGCTATAGGAATATTTCTGCATCAAAAAGAAAATTTTGAAAAAAGTGTGGCTTACGTTATTTTGGCGGTTAGGCTCGATATGTAGTTGAAACCTGTGGAATAAAACTACATATTGTAATCGGTATAGCACGGGTCCCTTCATCGACTCCAGCCGGCATCGAAATTACTGTTGTATGGGACACATCCCTGTTCCTGCTTGTTCCAAAGCGCGGCAAATTTTCATATCGCTCTTAAGTACTTCTAAAAAAGTTAATGAAATTTTGCTATTTTTATGGCCACCAATTCTATTTACACAAATAACAGTGTGTTTGTAAAATTTTATTTTCGATCAATACAAATTGTACTGTCCAGCGTAGTTTATTTTTGTTTAAATTATTTTTGCGCTTCCGCCACTTTATAATATAAGTCAAAATATGTATATACATACATACACATTAATCACATTTTTCACATTACTCGTATAATGCCGAATTTTTACTAAACATTGAATGCCAAATAAAATTTGTGATTAAAATTTGTGTCATTTAATGGACATTAAAAATGCGGCTTGACTCACTAAACACATAAGTCTTCAAGTACACATTTACATACCTCATGATTTATAACAAACCCACCATGCACAATAAAATCTGACTTCCTCAACTGGATGCTTTGATTTTTCTACATTGATCGTGAATTTTGCACAAATTGGTCACAGTGAATAACAGAAATACGTATTCTGCTTGTTTATTTTCACTTTTGTATATCTGATTGTGAGCAGAGTACAAAAATATATTGATTACAATATTTTCAACTACCTAGAACCAATTTAAATTTTGAAATATTAAAATAAGAATAAGAGAGTGGTGTAGCATTATCCATAATTAGAACCTTAAAACTATTGAAAAATGTATTGAGATTAGGTTCATTGTGGGTCCGGAACGGATGTCAGCTCAACATGTGAACTTTTTAAGTTATTTTTGCTAAAACGAATTTTAACTTAACAAGAGTCAGAAAGTGGATATTAAACTTTTTATGCCATTAGTTAAATTTTTCTTTGTTGAAGTCCATCTCAACTAGTATACCAGTTACAGTTTTTCTATTTTCAAGTTTTGATCCTCATTAGGTTTTCTACATGGGTTCTCTGTATTCCAGAGAGCTTGATCTGCAATAGACCGAGATCATAGATTACTTTTTCCTTAGAGCAAAAGGTCATTGAAGCTTTAGTATAATTAATTGTCAATCGAAAACCTTACCTATTCAGTATGGTGATCTATAAATTTGGTATACAAAACCGGATAATGTACATCCCCTTAGAAGCAACTTATTGTGGCTTGTTTTCATTTATAACAGCCACTGATTCGAGCGCAATGGGCTATGAATGACAGTCTCTGTGGACTTGCTTGCTTCTTGCTCACAGGCCGTTGCCTTAGGCTGACTTATCGGATGTGCAGATCAAAGATGTTCAGGGACTCTTTCAAGAAAAAGGAGCTTAGGCTGATTGATCGGTAAAACGTAGACAGATGTTCGGGGTTTCCAGACATCGGTAAAAAAAAAATATATAAATTTAACCTAGGGTAATCTGCTGATAATTTCACCCCACAGAGTCGAGACACGGTAGAGTTTAGAGAGGACTGGAGCTCAATGATTAATTTATTGCTGAAATGGGCTAGAGTAGACCACATCATTCCCTGACAATTTGTATGGCTTGAATATGGATAAGATGCTTTGCACTCATTCCCTTCCAGAAGTGAGTGCTGGTGCACTCAATTATAGCCTACTGAATAGCTCAGAAAATGAGTGTCTGCAAATTTCTCGCGATAACTGGTTGCAAATAGAGTGAAAACTCGATATAAAGAAGTGGAAGTGGTTGGATAAATGCTTCGTTATATCTAAAGTTTAACGATTTTTTTTCAGAAGAAGCAGTAAACATTTTGTTATATGGATAAATGCTTCGTTATATCTAAAGTTTAACGAGTTTTTTTTCAGAAGAAGCAGTAAACATTTTATTATATTGAGTTTTTCGTTTTATCAAGGTTTGTTATATCGAGGTTTCACTGTACATTTCTCATTTCTTTATAGTTACGAGCTTTTTGCAGGCTATTGATTTCCGCCAGCTCTGTTGGATTTCCGGAAGTATGAATTTTGTTTTAGGACGTAAAAGCTAGTTTGTAAGGGTTAGCATTACGAATGGTTTTTGGGCTATTGAATAGTTTCTTAATCAGCCTTATCATGAGTTTCATTTTCCCCGAACCGATTCACTTTTCACTCTTGGTTTCCATGGTTTTACTATGGGCTAGGTGACAAACATTCTGGTGATATTTTTTTTTTTTCAGGCGAAACTCAGGATAAGGCAGAATGTTTCAGCGATTAAAAGTACGCACTAATTTGTATAACACTCAGTACTCTGTTCACGATCGATGCACTTCAATATATCTTCTACAATATCTTACTCCTGCACACATACCTACAAATTCATTTATAAATCTATTTAATCATAACAAATCTTTCGCTTTGCACGCTTCATAATACCTATATGCTTTGCAATAACGGATTAATATTAGTACTAAAACATTTATATCTAATATCTTCCTTTCGTTATTTAGAAGATGAAATGACTAAATCGGGCAGTGGTCCCCTAAAATCCCCAACAAAGGCACGTAATCGTAATGGTTCAACTACTGAAATGGCAGTGGATCAGTTGCAGGCCAGCGAGAAATTAATTGCAGGTGAGTGAAAGAAAAATTAAAAAATCGAGCAGAGAATATACATATATTGAGCCCTTAAACTCTTATACTCTAAATGCTTATTCCATTAGAACTCAACGAAACTTGGGAGGAGAAACTCAAGCGCACCGAAGAGATCCGTTTGCAACGCGAGGCGATCTTCGCTGAAATGGGTGTAGCCGTGAAGGAGGACGGTGACACTGTAGGCGTATTCTCACCAAAGAAAACGCCACATTTGGTCAATCTAAACGAAGATCCAAATTTATCAGAATGCCTCTTGTACTATATTAAAGATGGCATTACACGTTTGGGCACACACGAGGCCAATGTACCACAAGACATACAACTCTCGGGCTCACATATTTTGAAGGAACATTGCACTTTTGAAAATCGCAGTAGTACCGTTACGCTCATACCGCACAAAGATGCATTAGTCTACTTGAATGGACGTAAATTGGTTGAGCCAGAGGTTTTGAAGACCGGCTCGCGTGTCATACTTGGCAAGAATCATGTATTCCGCTTCACAAACCCTGAACAGGCGCGTGAATTACGTGAAAAGATCACTGAGAATGCGGAAAATGAGAATGAAATAGAGAAGGCGGATACACAACAGGTGGATTGGAATTTTGCACAGTGTGAGTTGTTGGAAAAGCAGGGCATTGATTTGAAGGCGGAAATGCAGAAGCGTTTGGATAATTTGGAGGAGCAGTATAAGCGCGAAAAGCAGCAGGCCGATCAGCAGTTCGAGGAGCAGCGTAAGGTGAGTGGTGGGCAGGAGGTGGAGGAGCTGTGAGCTAGTAGAGGCTAATAAATGTTAATTTTTTCCCTTTTTTTTTAGAACTATGAAGCACGCATTGATGCGTTACAGAAACAAGTTGAAGAACAATCGATGACTATGTCGATGTATAGCAGCTATTCACCTGAAGATTTCCACCAGGAGGAGGATTTATACAGTAAGTACCAATGATTTAATTTCAGCTCATAAAGTAAAAAATTTCGCTAAAAAAAAAAAATAAAAAATCGATTGCGCGCGCCCCTGCCAGGAGTCGAACCTGGAATCTTCTGATCCGTAGTCAGACGCGTTATCCATTGCGCCACAGGGCCAGTTGCGTGGTGGGAGTCATACACGCATGTTGTGCTCAAGCATGTCAGCGCTCTCTTTCTCTCCCTTTGCCTGTGCAAGGCAGCTGATGAAAAACTGTAAACAGTTTAGTAGACACTGTAATAAATTTTAGTTGAGAGGTTCTTGTACGAAGCAAAACAATTTGAGAGGCGTAATGTTACATCAGTGTTGTTAACTTCGCTGAAATTTTTTAAATTAAAGTTTTATTTTTAATTTCCCCCATTAAAATTTTTAAATCAAAATTAGAAAAATTGTATTGGTGGATAACAGCATCCCATTTCGATTAAAAATAGTTTCGGGAAGCTATTTTTAATGGATTTAGTTTTATCGAGAAAGAAAGCAATTGGAAAAATATGAGTGAGGAATTTATTATTCTTTAAACTGAAGCCCATAAAAAGTTAAGTACATCAAAAAAGCGTGTTTTTTTAACGCAGTTTTAGCCATTTTATTAGCATTTTTATGGCAAGAAAAAACGGCAAAGTCTCTTAGCTACTGGATTCTTAAGGCATTTTTTGGTCCCATTCCGCCGTAAAAGGCTGTTGAGTTTTTGTGGCCAAAGAAAGGTTAAAGGGGAGTGAATGAATGAGGATTCAGTATAGTGCTATCATAAGACTTCTGTGTCCCTTTGTAGGGGACGTAATATTTGCCCCACGTTTCCAGAGAGTTTAAGTAACTCCCTACATCATCAGCTCCCGAACTTTTTTCGTTACAGCCAATCCACTCTACGAATCATGTTGGACTGCACGCGAGGCCGGTTTAGCCGCTTGGGCATTCCGCAAATGGCGCTACCATCAATTCACTTCATTGCGCGATGATCTCTGGGGTAATGCTATATTCTTGAAGGAGGCTAACGCCATATCGGTGGAGTTGAAAAAGAAGGTGGGTTTGAAATGGAAAGTAACTGTTTTTTGATTTATAAATTTTGACGGTGTTCTACCCCTCCATCCTAACAGGTGCAATTCCAATTCACACTTCTCACCGACACACTCTACTCTCCGCTACCACCTGAGCTGGCCTCAGCCGCTTCGCCACTGCAGAACGAGGATGAATTTGGCGCACCACCAGTTTCGAAAACCATTGTGGCTGTAGAGGTAACCGACACCAAAAATGGTGCTACACACTACTGGTCGTTGGAGAAATTGCGGTAAGTGGTGCTTTTTTTAAACCTTTGAAAAAAAAAATTTAATTAAAAGTTAGTTCAGTGTCTTCAAACATGACTTTGAGTTTTCGAAATCACAATCATTGTTTTTGGCATACAACTTTTTTTATGTTACTTGAATGAAATATAGCACTAGTTTTGTAATTAAAAATTCTAGCATTTTTTTGTCCTCAAAGGCATTTTAAGCGAGTGAAGCTAGGAATTCTCTATTTTATTTTCGGTCAGAAATTCAATTTCACAGTTTTTTTTTTGGAACGTGCATGGTGGTTGTTTGATTTGCATAAATAAAACTAAAAAATGTAACTGAAAAATATTTTTGAACGCTTAAAGCTAAATAGCTAAATGTTTTATTAAATATTTAAAATATTTTAAAAAACACAAACATAGATTTTCCATCATTGTGTAGTTATGAAATAACTAGAAAGCTACCACCATTAACGCAGCGCACAGCATTCACGCTCATTTCACATCTCTCTCTCACTCTCACTCTCTAGCTAATCATTACCCTTATTAACCTTTAAGAAACCCTAGCATATATAGCCTAGGCTTTACTAACAAAATTTTATATATTTGTATTTGTTATTTTCCCCTTCTCACCTCTCCTTAACCGCTCATAACTATCTCCCACACATTTTCCGTACCACCCCTCCAACCCTGCCTCCTCACAACAAAAATACAACACTTACACACTCTAAAACGCTTACATCGCTCGCCAACCACCAGCTATCGTTTGGAGTTGATGCGTCAAATTTACAATGTCGAGAGTCCACCATCATCTATGCTCTACGATACGACCTCGCTGTGCGGCGAAAGCGCTCTTATTTCGACTGAAGATCTACAATACGATGGCATCATACCACACACTACCACAACTGTCTCGTCGAACTACAGCTCATTTTTCGCTCCCAATCCTGAGACCTCCTCTCTTCTTGCATACCCCCAATCCCAACGACAAGTACACGCTAACACTACATCGTCGTCATCGGCTTCGTCGCTGTTGGCGCCTATAAACGACAACTTATCGCAAGTGAATCGTACGAGTCCGAAGAAAGCTGGTCCACCCGGTGGCTCACCATCGCGCTTGTCATTGGTCAACCTAATGCCATCTAGGTCTGCTTTCATTTTCGATACAACGAGGTTTTTATTTTCACATTTGTTATATTTGAGTATTTCGAAAGCTCTTGCTTGCGGATATTTTTAGTTGTTTTTTATTTACATATGGAATCGTTTGGACATCATATGCTTTTTTGTGTGTATTTTTTAGTTTAATATTCGTCTGTAATGTTCGGAAACTTATTCGCGCACGAGCCCCAAAGCCGATTCCCTATAATGGGACCTAACTTTGATAACTTTAGTTGTTTCGGGATCCATAAACTCTTTCGGCGACAATTGGAATGATATTTAGAGAAGATCTAAGCTTATTTCTATCGGCTTTGTGAGTGAGCCGTTGTTTTTATATCTCCGTTAAAGGATATGTATTGTGAAACACGTAGACTTTTTTGTCGGAACCACTCAGCACTCAGCCATTGCTGAACGAAATATTCACACAGTTTCCGACGGTGGCTGCGATGGCCGAAAATGGGAGTAATATAAGGGGTTAAGTACCGAGGAATGTCTGGTCTGAGCCATCTCTGTCCCAATGGTCGCGTTTTTCATTGCCAGGTACTCCCGAGCAACCTCAAACCCCGAGTAAAGCAAGCTCGATATTTTTTTTCAACATAATTTAGTCGAGACTTGCATTGCCGAATTAGTCCGGAAGTAGTTAGAGGGCTGGCCAATGCCTTAAGTGCAGCTTGGCTGTCATTGCGGCAGTAAGAGAACACAATACCCTATTACCAAAGAAGTTGCTCTCGGGATGTCACCGTTTTAACTATTCCAGCAATGTGCTTCTTCAAAATTATTTGTTTCTCCGACATGTAAGACGGCACCTGCGCGACTGGAGAGAAAAGATATCACCCCGTATGTAGGATATTAATTCTATAAGATACAGCACATATTGCCGATATCGAAAAATCGCAGTTTGGGCTCAAACCGAGTATGCGAAAAAGACCCAGACGTCAACACGTATGGCCGAACTCGTCCTATTTACTTGACAATAAAANGCCCCGTATGTAGGATATTAATTCTATAAGATACAGCACATATTGTCGATATCGAAAAATCGCAGTTTGGGCTCAAACCGAGTATGCGAAAAAGACTCAGACGTCAACACGTATGGCCGAACTCGTCCTATTTACTTGACAATAAAATACCTTCTATGCGATGCTTCACACAAATAAGGAGCTTTCTCTTTGAGATAGAGTTAAGTAGAAAGCTTTCGTGGTGGCCGAAATGAGAATCTTTCTTAGGATAGAGTTAGGTAGAAATGATTCATGGAACCCGAAATGTTTAGAAAGATTAAGAAGCGAGGTAGTCATCGGTAAGAACTTGTGCCATATTAACTTTCTAAAGTCCAAATGACTACGCTGCTTAGTCAGCTTAGCGGGTAAATGTTTTTAATTAACTGAAAAATTATTCGTAATTTTACCTTCGGTCCTTACATTGCTCCACATGCATTCGACAATTGGTAACAAAGAAAGCACTAAGGTTATTCTAACTACATACATTTTAGGAAGCCGTCTGGTGTGGTTATTAAACCCATAGAAATGATTGAATGGCATAAAAGGAGTCCTAAATTGAGTTTAGTTAGGTTGACATGTACAATTTAAGCATTACTCGGGCTTTAGTCTCGTGATTGGGTACTCATTATTAAGTTTTAGTGTGTACTACTTGCATGATTTCGTCTTATTTCTTGAATATTGCATTTCAAATAAACTGCTTATTTTGTAAAAAAATATGTATTTATGCATTTAGGTATATAACTAAGAATATATGTAAATGTGCCTTTGAGGAATGACATGAGTTGCTGATTACGATATTTTAGTCACAAGTGTTTCACAAGTTCAATGTATTAAAAGGAAAAAACCCAGATGTTTCACAAGTTCAATACATTAAAAGACAAAACAAAAAAAAAAAAAACAAATGTTTCACTAGTTCAATGTACCAAAATGAAGAAAACGGAAATTTTTTAAACTCAAATTAATACTAAGTACATATAGATTAAAGATAAAAAATTAAAAAAAAAAAATAAATAAAAATAATTATTTAAGGAACTTTACTGACATAATCTTTGATGTGTGTTTCACTTTATTTGCATTAAATGCTTAGTTTTTTTTTTACTCTTTTGCGCCTTTAATGCACCAGCTTGCAAATTTTTAGCTCTGAAATTTCTGCAACACCAGTAATCTCTTCACGACCTTCTTCATTTTCATTCACTCTCTTTAGGCAACGCTTGGAGCTGATGCGCGAAATGTATCACAATGAGGCTGAACTCAGTCCCACTTCACCGGATTATAATGTCGAAAGTTTGACTGGCGGTGATCCATTCTATGATCGTTTCCCTTGGTTCCGCATGGTGGGTCGTTCTTTCATTTATCTCAGCAACTTACTATATCCCGTGCCACTGGTACACAAAGTGGCGATTGTCAATGAGCGGGGCGATGTGCGCGGTTACTTGCGTGTAGCTGTGCAACCGGTATTGGTAAGTTATATAAAAGCAATTTTGTTTCGTTAAACTCGCTCTAACTCTCGCCGGAAACTCTTTCCTTTTCGCTTCACAGGACGAGGAGTCCATCGACTTCAACAATGGCGTTAAACAATCGGCACGCTTGATATTCAATGAGGACGATGCCAAGCCAAAGTATCGCGCTCTGAACGAGAAGGATGATGTACAGCGTTACATCGACAATGGTGGACTGGATACCAAGCTTGAAGGTGTGCAGAGTTGCTCGATTTTTTCATTTCCCATACCGAAATAGCAATATTTTATTGCTTACGGACCTCTTTATTCCAGAACTCGAGGATGCTGACTCCGGACGCGGCATTGATTCCAACTCAGCTTCTGAGTGTCAAGAGGCTAATGAAGAGCCTGGCGAGCATTTAGAAATCGGCAAGGAATTCACATTCCGCGTTACCGTACTACAGGCTACCGGCATTGGCGCTGAATACGCTGACATCTTCTGTCAGTTCAAGTAAGTTGAAAAGGTTGAGTTGAATTCAAACGAAAATTTTGCTCAATTCATGCGCTTATTTGCCCACACACAGCTTCTTGCATCGTCATGAGGAGGCTTTCTCCACCGAACCAGTCAAGAACTCGGCATCTGGCGCTCCCCTCGGCTTCTACCATGTTCAAAATGTATGTGCCCTCAAGTTTTTTATTTCTATTCGGTAGCGCATGCTATTATTTACGCTCACTTCCTCACTTTCAGATTACCGTACCCGTTACCAAGTCGTTCATTGAGTATTTGAAGACCCAACCGATTATGTTTAAGATCTTTGGACATTATCAAACTCATCCTTTGCATAAGGATGCCAAGCAGGAGTTTGTTTCGCGTCCACCACCACGTCGCATGCTTCCGCCAAGCATTCCCATCAGCCAACCGGTGCGTAGTCCCAAATTTGGACCACTACCATGTCCATCCACGTCAACAGTTTTGGCTAAACATGACGTCTTGGTTTGGTTCGAAATATGTGAGCTCGCACCAAATGGCGAGTATGTGCCATCGGTGAGTATAGTTACTTCACTATGAATGAATAAACTGTTTTCATTTTTTTTTTGCTTCAGGTGGTTGAACACAGCGACGATCTTCCGTGCCGCGGTCTATTTTTGCTCCACCAGGGCATACAGCGACGCATACGCATTACCATCGTACACGAACCCACAGCCGAAGTTAAATGGCGTGATATACGCGAATTGGTTGTTGGCCGCATACGCAATACACCAGAATCTTCGGATGATTTGGATGAGGACTCGTGTGTTTTGTCATTGGGCTTGTTTCCTGGCGAGACTTTGGAGGTACCCGGCGATGATCGTTCGTTCTATCGCTTTGAGGCTGCTTGGGATTCAAGCTTACATAATTCTACTTTGCTGAATCGCGTGACACAAGCTGGCGAGACCATCTATATAACTTTGAGCGCTTATTTGGAGGTAAGTTGTGTGAGCTGAATTAGAAAACGACTGCTGAATATGCGCTCAATAGTAAAAATTTTGAAGCAGTTGGCGGAAATTTAATAAACTTTGCGCTGAATTTAATTAAAATGAGCTGAATTGTAAAAAATAGCGCTGAATTGCGATAGTTGGCAGCTGAATATTATCTACTTGCCGTAATCTTTTTAGCCTATAAAAATTTTCTCGAGCCTACTTGATATCTTGCTTAGGTATCAAAAATGCACATTTATGCATTTTTAAGCACACAATTTATTAATTGGCACATTTTAGTTTCCGCTGAACTTGCTGAATTGCTCAAGTTGGCGCTTCCCAGCATAAAATCCTCTTCCTCTTGCATCAAAATGTAATAAACGTTACATATCAATGCGCTGAATACATAAAATAATAAAACACATTCTCCTCTTTCCCTTTTTACAGCTCGAAAATTGCGCACGCCCAGCCATCATTACCAAAGACCTCAGCATGGTCATTTACGGACGCGACGCACGCACCGGACCACGTTCGTTGAAACATCTCTTCTCCGGTCAATATCGTAATCCCGAAGCCAATCGCTTGTCGGGCGTTTATGAATTGTCATTGCGTAGAGCCTCTGAAGCAGGTAGTCCAGGTAGAAATTCTTAACGTAGTGTTGGTTGTTGTTACATAATTGCCGTTCGAAAGCGTTCTTGTTTAGAATTAATGCTTGAAGCAGCTAAATACATTTTTAAAAATATTCAAATTTTTCATTGCTTAAGTAAAGTACATACATACATTAATCATGCTGAAAAGCTTCAAAAGTTTCGCTTTCGCTACGCGCTCACTAAACACCGCAACTAATGTCATAATTTCTTTCATATTTCCGCTTCTATAAAATTTTCGAAAAAGGTGTACAACGACGCCAGCGACGTGTCCTCGATACCAGCTCCACTTATGTGCGCGGCGAAGAGAATCTTTCTGGCTGGCGTCCACGTGGCGATTCGCTCATTTTCGATCATCAATGGGAATTGGAAAAGTTGACACGACTCGAAGAGGTGGGACGTGTGCGCCATTTGTTGTTGTTGCGCGAACGCCTTGGCATGGACACCAATCCAAATCCGACCACGAAGACCGAAAAGGACGTGTGCAATTTGGCAGCGCGTGCAGCCACCTCACCAGTACATATGGTCATACCACCATCACCACAAACGCCCGTTAAGGATCCACAACAGATGATGCCCGAGCGGGAGTACAATCAAAGGGAGCAAGAGTTGTTGCTGAAATGCTTGAAGTTGGTGCAGGGTGAGTGTGAGAAAGGCAGAAGAAATTATTATTATTATTTTTTTAATTATCTGCTGAATACTCTTTTCATAGGCACCTATAACAAATCTACAGATCCCACAGCGGAGCCAGCCACCCAGTCGGATGTGTCGCCCAGCGATGAGGGCTGCGCTGACATGACCGTTAGCTGCATCTCTGGCAGCTCGATAGAGTAAGTAGCCGCATTTTGAGTTTGTGTGATTGCCACAATGCCGCAAGTTTGAGTTGTTTCCTCTTCATTTGAGAAAAAATTTTATGTTCAAAGAGAGAAAAAAAAAATTTATTTATTTTTTTAACCAAAACTCCTACCAAAATAAAAATTTAAACAAAAGTATCTAAATCCTAAATTTTTACTCTATTTTTATGTTCTTTTTCTTTTTATGTATGTATGTAAATGTCTTAATTTTGGTAAAAAAAAAACTAAAAACAAATTTCAACTTATTAGAACAACACCAAAAATTAGACGAAGGTAATTTTCTGGTTTATTTAAAAATTTAAATTCGTATTAAATTTTTAGTTGCTTTGCTTTTGAAACTAAATTTTTTTTTTCAGTACACAAAAATAGCATTTTTCAAACAAAGACGTGGTACACTTGAAAAATAAACAAAGCAATTTGAAGCTCACGAGTACAAAAATTTAGAAAATCGACCGCTGGTATAAAGTTCATTAGTTCACAAAATTCAGAAAAGTCCAGCTGAATTTTAAGTAAATGCGCTGAATACGCTGAAACCAATTGCATTTGTAGTTCAAAAAAGCTTTTAGTCGAATTGTAAATACGCTGAACCCCATTTTAATTTGAGAAATATATGTACATACATATGTGTTTCCAAAATAAGCCTCAAAATGGTAGGCCCTATTTAAAAGGCTTTATAGGCGCTGAATGAGCTTGTAACACTAATTAAAACACGCTGAATGGGAAATTCAAGCAGCAAAGTATGCGCTGAAATGATTTCCAGAGAGCTTAATGAGCTGTATAACATCAAAAAGCAAATTGAAATAGTTAAATGTAAAATTTTAGTAGCGAGAACTTTTTTTGAATACAAAAATAAATGGCAAAGCATACGCTGAATTAATTTTCAACGTGCTGAATATACTGAATTCATTTGGCGTAATGCTTAAAAAATGCAAAATGTGAAAATCAAACCGGACAATATTTGCTGAAAAGGTTTTCTTGGCGCTGAATGAGCTGAGCGTGCTTGTAAAACTAATACAAACACAATTAATGTGAAATCCAAGCAGCAAATTATGCGCTGAATTGGTTTCCAGTGAGCTGAATAAGCTGCTAATAACGTCTGCGTAAAAATATCTTTGTCAATGTTTGAAAAATCGCTGTCTACAGTAAATTTGCTGCTTAACACCTTTTGCCTAACTCACTATCACTCACACACAACTTACATTTTTATAACCAATACTGAACTTTAGCATCACTAACACGATTTGGCAACAATTTTTCATAAACTTATCACACATCTTCCACTCACTAACCTACAGTACTTATCACCTTTTAACTGTGTTTGAGTAATTTTATATAAGTACATATAAAATATATTAACCCAACCTTTTCAACCTCTCAATGTGCGCTTCTCACTTCACCCTTTTTATCCTCATCTTAATTTTTTATTCGACTTGTTCTTTTTTCGCCACTAACTTCATGCACTTCTTACAGATTATGTTCACCCGATCGTGCTGATGCGCCCAATGGCTGGGAGGCACCTGCACCCGCAACACAACCGGCCCTACCGCTGCGGCTATACGTACCCGAGTTAGAGGAGATACGTGTGAGCGCTGTTGTGGCGCGCAAGGGATTGCTCAATGTATTGGAGCATGGTGGTTCGGGTTGGAAGAAGCGTTGGGTGGTAAGTTGACATTAGCTAAAAGCCGTATTTTATTCTACGCACAATTAAACACTTTAAAATCTTTTTTCCAGATTGTGCGTCGCCCCTATGTTTTCATCTACAAGTCGGAGAAGGATCCAGTTGAGCGTGCAGTATTGAATTTAGCGACAGCTCAGGTTGAATGTAGTGAAGATCAAGCGGCTATGGTGAAGATACCCAATACATTTAGGTAAGCGAAAGAGGAAGATGAAACATGTTTTACTATGGGTTCTCTTATTTTTGTCTCGAATTGGAATTTTGCTAAAACTTAAATTTTTGTTGTGTTTTTCAGTGTTGTCACTAAGCATCGCGGCTATCTGCTGCAAACGTTGGGCGATAAGGAGGTACACGATTGGCTGTACGCCATCAATCCCCTACTGGCTGGACAGATAAAGTGAGTGGATTTAATAAAGAAGTTTCAGACAACTTAGCGAAATATAATACGTACCAAGTTCACAAATTCAAAAAGCTCTCAGCAATTGTTACTATCACTCAAAGTTTTTGGTTTCGAGGTCATAATCCCTAGACCTCAGCCTAAAGTAAAATGAGTAGTTCGTAGAAAAAATTAGAGGGATTAAAAAAAGGCTCAATGTTGAGAAAAGCTATCAAGAAAGTGCCAATAAAAGCATCTAAATAGATAAAAAAAAGTGTACAAGAAAAAGATTAAGAAAATTAAAAGTTGAAGAAGACGAAAAGTGAGGTGCCTCAATGCAAAAGGCAAGAGAATATTCTCGGTTTCTTCATTACGGAAACGAATCTACTAAAACTTCAAAGTACTCACAAAAGTATATAATCTAATTCTCAAATAAAAGAAGCGCATGAAATTGAAGTAGCAAGAAAAAATTAAAAATTTCACAAATAAAAGTTAGAAGAAAGCTCTCAAAAGTTCTCTGCTGCTGTATACTTTTACACAGAGTGTAACACAGTTTCAAAATGGTAGAAGCCGGAAGAAAGCCTAAATTAAAAAATATAATACAAAGCAAAATTGCGAAAAGATAGAAAGAGATCAAAGCTGCGAAAGGCTCCAAGAAAGAGCGTACAAAGACAAAATTTTGAAAAAGCCCAAGAAAGCTCCTCAAGGAAAGCTTAGAGTTGAGCTCTCTAAAACTCTCTTCTGCTGTGTACTTTTATTTGAAGATTTAATTTGTGTAGTTTAAGAGTTGTTGCAGATGGGCTAAAGTAAAAATTGAGTGCAAAGGAATAAATTTTAGAAAGGATTAAAAGAGCTCAATCAAATCAAATCAAAGAAAAATTTGGAATAAAGCTCTTGAAAGCTACAAAACTGGAAATTTTCAAAAAGCTCTACTGAAAGCTCTCGTCTTATATGTGTACATAAATAGGTGTTTTTTTCAAAACTATTTTATACCCGCTATTTAAGAAGTTGTAGAACCCAGAAGGCGTCATAAATTAAAGAGAGGGTTTGAAGAATTATTGAGCTTTTGGAAATATAAAGTTCACAAGCATAAAAGCTACAGACATAAAAATCTCTAATATGATTTAAAGCAGTGAGGACCAAAAGATATCAGTGGGATAAGTATTTAAGAGCTTTCTGTAGAATACATGTGTTAAAAGATCTCTGATCGTCGTTGATTGGCAAAGAAATTTATAGCATACAGTCTTTATTTAAACCTCTTCAACTCCCGCTTTAAATGAAGAGCGATTTCAAATATTTCGCCCTTCAAATATCTACATAAATTTTTAAAAATGAGTAACTGAAATTTAATTTTATATGCTAAACAAATTTAATTTTTTAGTTTTAAACGCGCCTAGGGACTTTTTTCTACTACTACTACTACCATTTATTATTATTATTTTTTTTTTTTTTCAGGTCAAGACTGGCACGTCGTACATTGGAGTCGTCGGCATCGCAAACCGCATCACAAATCCAAGCTACAACGGCGTCAAATGCACAGACAAACAATAAATGAGATACAATTACGATGGAATCTGTATTAGTGTATTAAGAGAACGAGGGCAGGGTGTTTCTGAACAGTATATGCAAAAGTTATAACAACAAACAGAAAAACAAAATTATTATTTAGATATATACTCGTACGATAAGAAAATGAGATACATACAAACACATACATACTTATAGTATAAATAAAAAGAGTATATAAAAGGTTAAATATATACAAACATACATACCATTTATGTATGTAGTATTAAAAAGTATATGAGGGCAGCGAGGCAATTGGAAATCGAAGAGAAAATATTATAGAAAAGCGTAAGCGAAAGTGAGAAGAAGAAATGGAATCTAAATAAAACAATAAATCACTGAGCGCAAAACTCACACACTCACACCTACAAATACACATACATTAACAATAAATTAGTCAAATAAGTGTGAAGGCTAGGAAAAAGGCAATAAAGTGCGCTCATTAGCGCGAACAGGCTAACAAAAGAATATTATTTGCAAAAGTAGAAATTATTGGCAGCATCAGAAACATTTGGTCCAAGTAAGTAGCTTTGGATTCCATCGCACTGAAATTGAAACGGCTAGACATTAATATTTTTCTTGGATTTTTGATTGACATTGAGCTGGAGGGGTGAGTTAGCAAATGTGTGGAATACAAAAAGAATCTAAACACTGTATATGTAAAACTGAATTTTTTTGTAGTGAATTTTCTCATTTTCTTAAAAGAAAAAAATTATAGAAACGGTATAAAAACATTAATCAAGAAACAAAAAAATCAAAATTAAAAAAAAAGTATTTACGCATCAATTCTAATTGTATGAAAAAAAAAAATATTAAAAAATAAGAGCAAAAATTGCGAAAAAACTCAAATACGCTTCACTGTTATCAGAATAAATAAAATCTATTAAAAAGCATTAAAGGCAAAGGCAACATGAACAAATAAAACTTTACTATATTTATTAGAGTTTATATATTTTATTTTATTTTTATAGTACGCAAGTAAAAATTTTTTTAAGTAGCTATAACTTTTAGATGTGTGTACTTTTTCTATATTTTTGTTGAATTTATATTTTTTTGTAAATAGTTTCAATTTAGCATAACTCAAACGTATAGAAAAAGATAGTTTTTTAAATGCAACTCTGATATTATTTTATTTCATTTAACTTTTTAAAAGCATTATAAAAACATGTAAAATTACATACTACATACTTTTAAACAATTTCTAAATATTATTTATACAGCTTTTTAATGTGTAAATGTAGGTATTGTAAAGAGCAAACACACAAAAACAAAAAAATTGCACAGCAAATGTATTTATGTATGTAGTTGAAATCGCGCTAGTTTAATTGGCAGCAAAGAGTTTGAGACAAAGAATAAGTAGCAAACACGCTAATGTATGTATGTATGTAACGTAGGCAATTTTTTTTTAAATTCATAGGTACATATTGTTTCAAAATTTTCCTTTACTATATAAGAGCTGAAATTTTCAATAACAATATAAATATATATTTATTAAATGTATAACAAGCAAATTTTCGATGTATTTAGCAGCAAAACAA